TACTATCCCTAAGTTTGGAGTCAGGCAGCTTGACTTATTGAGGCTTTAAGTGGAACCCTCTCCATATGCAGATCGGCCAGTCTAAAATCCTCTTAAAATCTGGGGGAATTTAATAAATCTGATTATTTATAGGATATTCGCAGAAAAATAACTATGGAAATTGTTCCGAGAAAGGGTAACCGGATCCAGAATGTTAACTCTGACTTTTTCTTCACAGATGCTGCCAGACCTGCTGAACTATTCCAGCAATTTCTGTTTTTGTTCCTGATTTTCAGCATCCGCAGTTCATTCAGTTTTTATTTAGTGTATGGAAATTGTCAGGTTGTCATTAAAAATACTATTTGCTCACTCTGAAAGGGAATCTGCCACTTCTAAATGGCTTGGAATTCATCTTCTTCAACTGATTAACTGATAAGGTGCCTAATTCAAAGGAGCAGGTGGCAGATGAATTCATAACTAACAAACAACTACAACACAATATCAGGACATGACCTATGCAATTCAATCCAGTTGATACTACTAAATAATGTTCAAAATTGACCCTAATCCATGTATTTTCTTTGTGACTTCAAGTTCCACAAGGTGCTGGAAACTTCTGTTTAATTACGATCATAACCACCACACTTGTCTAATAAATCAATATTCTTCCATGTTAAACGTTACTTGAAAGAAACTCAGAGGCGAGTAACATACAAAGTGATGGGCTTCATTGTCTAGTAATGAATGATTTGGAAGTTCTACCACTCACATTTTTTAACAAAAACAAACATATTATACACTTATATACAAGGAATTAAACAAAAACAATTTAACACTGTAATTTATAACAATTTATGAATTCAGTTTTACTCTGACTTCACCAACACCAGCACCAGCCTCGCATCCCCATCTCAGTCAGTGTTTCCTTATTTTGTGAAAGCTTGAAGCTCTATTTACATTTCCTGTGATCAGCCCCAAGGAATGCCACACAAGTCACTTTGATTTCTCTTCAGTGTTCGAGTTACTTTCCAAGATAGTAAATTTCATGGGGGTTCTTTCATTAACTTTTAGTTTAGCAATCTTGTTTTTTTTAAGCCTCATCACTGTTGACCCTTGAGTTTAAGCAAAGGTTTCACAGCCTTGATTTTGCTAAGAAATTTACACGTCAGGAACATCCCTTGGTTCCTAATGACCCTCAATCTCCCATATGTTCTGTATAGCTGCTGGCCTCACAACTGATACCCAGTTCTCGCCAAATATTTTCTTTCTGCTTCTAAGCTGGCTGACTGCTGGCTACTTTCTTCTGTGAGCAAATACCCATGGCCATAAATTTTACAAAGGAACTTCCTAATCTCACAGCCTATCTCCATGTTAACGTGTCATATCAGCAATGTTCCTAACAAAAAATATTAAGTAATTATCCTTTCACCATCAATGCAACACTTTGATTCTGTAATCGATAAGCATTAATAACTCTAATGGATATGATTACCCTCTCCCCGGACTTGCTGGATCCTATTAATGAACAACCATGCTTACAAAATACTCCCAGCTTCTTTTCATCCAGAATCTACAAAAGTAATTTAAATCTTCTACTGGAATAAGGGTAGATCTTCTAGATTCAGTGGAAGCCCAGAGATGAGTTATTCATTAGTCAAATTTTACACTTTCAACTCTGACCTTTTAAGATAAACACGTTGCTTCTTAACCTGAACTTGTCGACTTGTCTTACTGATGGGGTTGTTTATCAGTTTCTTAACCACATTTTTCCATTTATCTTATGATGAACACTTTCATCTTCAACCCAAAATTATATTTAAAATATTGATATAAACCACAAAACTAGATGATTACAGAAATATGATAAACACAAGCAGCTGATACTGAGAAATGTGATCCTGTAAACAACTTCTCTGGTCTGACAACATTCAGTCAAAAATGGAGGAGGACAATCAGGTAACTAAGATAGAAGAAAACTCCTTGACTATCCCCTCTTAAAATCGATGACCTGACACGTTAATTCAAGAGATGTATGAAGAGTTTGCAAGCTTATTCAGAGACAAGTGATTAATCCCAGATTCATCCCAGTCTCTTTATAAATACAGATGTCAGGGTCCAGCCAATTTGGCTCAACTTACATTACGTTAAGAAATTAGGAACCGAAAAGGAACCGAACCCTATAAGTGTGGAAGCAGGCCATTCGGCCCATCGAGTCCTCCAATAAGCATCCCACCCAGGCCTACCTCCATCCCCCTACCCTGTCTCTGTAACATGTTCCCATGGCTAATTCACCTAGCCAGCATATCCTTGCATACTATGGACAATTTAGCATAGCCAATCCATCTAACCTGAACATCTTTGGGCTGTCAGAGTAAACCAGAGGAAATTCATGCAGGCATGGGGAGAATGTGAAAACATCACACAGACAGGTGCCCAAGG